AAATGGAAACTACAATGCTCTAAATAAGTCAGAATCTATTTAATCACAGTAAATACGAATACAGTAAATATGAATAAATTAAGTGGCACAGTGTGAAGACTCTCAGAATCTATCTAGTCTTTCTAAAATATACATTGAATGTAATAATCTACAATTACAGAACATTGCGTATAGTAATGTATGTGCCAAGTGCACATGAGTGAGGCAAATGCAAATTTGGCTGCATTAGTGTCGAGCAAAACAGCATTCTTACAGCCAACGAGAATTAGAAAATTCTGATAAAGAAATCTCCCAGGACAGGGAACCCTGATTGCTTTTTGGGCTGAGGGGGGAGGGGGGACTTAATTGGGGGAGGGGGAGGGAAATGGGAGGCGGTGGCTGGGAAGAGACAGAAATCTTTAATAAATAAATAAATTTAAAAAAACATACAATTTTGAGAGCATCAGTCTTATACTTAGCTTCAAGAATTTTCTAAAGAACTTTGAAAAAGTATAAAATTGGACATACCCTCTCAGTAATCAATCACTTCTAGGGGCAAATTTAAATTGGTTGTAATGCATTATTCACTTATATGTGGCTGAAATTCTTGTTCTAATAATTTTTATAGTTTTGTACCTATGTTCTAATTTGGCATGGGTCTATAACTTTTCTTTGTTGTGATAATTTTCTCTGGTTTGCACTTTAAAATAAACACAGTCTCAAAAAAAAAAAAAAGAAATCTCCCAGAGCCGGGCGATGGTGGCGCACGCTTTAATCCCAGCACTCGGGAGGCAGAGGCAGGCGGATCTCTGGGAGTTCGAGACCAGCCTGGTCTACAGAGCTAGTTCCAGGACAGGCTCCAAAGCCACAGAGAAACCCTGTCTCGAAAAACCAAAAAAAAAAAAAAAAGAAATCTCCCAGAATGCAGTAATGAGATGATGGTTTGAAAAACAACTAAGAATAAACAAGGAAATTCCAGGACTGTTCAACATATTTAGACAAAAAGTGTTTCAGAAGGGAGAAAATGGAGAAAAAGAGAAAGGAAGGAGATACTCTTTTAAAAAAATATATATGAAACAAGCTTTTTGAGACTGAAGAAGGCTGTTCTGTCAATATCTATGAAAATGTATGAAAAGGGTCCCATGCTAAGGCATGTCATCAGTTTCTAAACCTTTGGGACACAGGAGATATATTAAACCTCTACAAAGAGAAACATGGGAAGTAGCAAAAGACAAGATCTCCTGAGTAAATTGGGGGCATGGAGACTTTGGGGGAGGGTTGAGAGGGGAGGGAAGAGGCAGGGAGGGGAGCAGAGAAAAATGTAGAGCTCAATAAATATCAATAAAAAAATTTTAAAAAGAGAGAAAACAGATCACATATAAAGGATCAGAAACCGCAATGGCTTTGAGTTTCTTAAATAGAACCACTAAAAGGTAGAACTTCAGTGGCATCATATCTTCCAAAAGCCTAAAGGGAAATTACCTCAAGCCAAGGATACTGTGGCTAACTCTAAGAGAGACATACATGGGAAGTAGAAAAAGACAAGATCTCCTGAGTAAATTGAGAGCATGGGGGCCTTGGGAGAGTGTTGGAGGGGAGGGGAGAGGTAGGAAGGGGAACAGAGAAAAATGTAGAGCTCAATAAAAATCAATAAAAAAAATACTGTAGCTAGCCAATAACTCTTGATCAAACAGGAAAATGAAGACTTATTTGTTTAAATCCATGATGGTGAATGAATTTCTCTTGCACTGGTACAGTAAGGGGACATTTAAACAAGAAGTGATAGGATAACTTGATGCTTGCACTTCTGGGAGGACAAAGAAATGAGCAACCCTTGGGAAAAACAGAGAAGAAACAGTAACCACAGAAGGCTGCTGGGTGCGTCAGCTACAAAGAGTCTCCAGTTATAAGCACTCAATACTTACTGAACCGAAACAATGAACTGAAACCTATATGAGAATAAGCTGATGGCCGTGGACCAGCTATGAAAGGGGGGACTAAAAGCTCAGATTCCCCAATGAGAAGCCAAAGATGAAGTCTGAAGTTGAAACCCCAGAGGAAAGGCAGATAACTGTGTTCCTCACTGGCGTGGAAATAAAAGGGCAAGAAGTAAATAAATCTCCTAAACAATTTAAGTCATGTCCTCTAGAGTTTGTTCTTTTTCAATAAGGCACTGCTGGCTCTTCTTCAGAGAGGCGATTTCTCTTTATACTCCCTTGAGTATAAAGTGTGACAGTGACTTGCTCCACACTGCTTTGTCCCTCCAGGTTCTAGGAGGAGCAGGTGACTAAGACAAATATCTGAGGGATAGAAAAGGTAGAGGGTAGGAAGTAGGGGTGCAACTTCAAAGCACAGCACAGGTCTGGCACCAATGAAAGAGCGAATGAAGATTTGGCAAAGGAGAGTTCAGAAGGCAACGTAGAAAGAGAGTGCACCAGGACAAAAGCCATCCAAATACATCTATGCATGCCATAACAACTGGCGGAAGGAAAGGGCCATGGACTTGAAGGAGAGCAAGGATGGGCATATGGAAGGGTTTGCAGGGAGGGAAGGAGAAATCCTGGCTAAAATACGGTCTCAAAAGTAAATAATCAACAACAACCAAATAAGAGTCGTCCCATGATTGCTTTTAATGATGGGCTTCCCTTCATATGGCACCACTGGTTAAAAGAAGTTTTGGAAAAATGTGGCTTCGGGGTGACACTGCAGCAGCCCCCCAAAACAGCCACCTTCAGACAACTGTGTTTAGTGGTGCATTGTCTGCTTCTAGCAGCTGACTGCACAGACTTAAAAGGGAAGCGGCCCGAGCTCTGGCTCTTGCCACTTTCTTCAGTAGCCAGCTTCAAGAGACTCTGAATTCTGAGCTTGAAAAGGTGGGAGCATCCGGCTTGGCCAGACAGAGCTCGGCCCAGGATGCTGCTGCCCTACTCTAGCATGAAGGGAGGTATGAGCAGCACACCTCCTCGGCCACCGTATTCACCAGCCCCGTGTTTGTGATACAGCTCTGATTTTTCAGGGTTATAACTGAAAACGGGATCTCAGAGTAGGCTACACTGCTATGTCTTTAGGATGAATGAGGTCAAGTGTCCTTTAAAACAGTTCTGTATCAGCATATTATGACACAACCAAGCTTGTACTCATAGATCCATTTTACTATTATGGAATGGCTTTACTTATGTTCTTTTCTATGAATTGAGTCACAGTTTTGTCTTCTTTATCGACCAGCAAAAACGTATACACTGAAGGTGTACATATTGCTCTGACTTATACAGACATTATGGGATAACTAAATACATCTAATTAATACATGTCTTGCCTTTCTCCATTATCAATTTTGTGTTGAGAACAGTTACTCCCTGCTATGGTCTGGATGTTGGCCATCCCCCAGAGACCCATATTTAGGGGATTCATTCCCAAGGTAATACTGCGGGCCTTTAGGAGATAGGTATTAAGGGAAAGCCCTTGAGCCACTGGAAGTGTGCCTTAAAATGGATTGTAAGATGTGCCTATACCACTGGGCAGTGGTGGCGCACGCCCTTAATCCCAGCACTCGGAAGACAGAGACAGGCGGATCTCTGTGAGTTCGAGGCCAGCCTGGTCTACAAGAGCTAGTTCCAGGACAGGCTCCAAAGCCACAGAGAAACCCTGTCTCGAAAAAAAAAAAAAAAAAAAAAAAAAAGATGTGCCTATACCATATATGTGTATGTATGTATGTATGTATGTATTATGCATGTTTGTGTGTGTATATGTATGTATGTATGGTGTAAGGCGTGGCCACATGTGCCACCACATGCTCCCACCAACTCTTATCAAAGACACAAAGAAATGGGGCTGCTGAATCTTGTTCTTGGACTTCGAAAACTATGAACAGAATAAACGTTTGCCTCTATGACTAATCTGACTGGGTATCTTGCTAGAGCAATGCATATTTGATTAGTAGACCCCCCCCCATTCTCTCATATCAACCCAATCAGTCAGCACTTTTAAAGAATCTAGCATATTTTTAACGGTGCCATCATATAACACAATAGACCTCTTAAACTCAACCTTTCTGATTGGCTGAAATTTTGAAGTCTTAGTTCACCATCTTCCCAAACACCCCAGGCCTCTGTACCGTCATTCACTCTCTACTTCTGTGAGATCAACTTCATTCAACTCCACAAATGACCGATGATTTTATTGGAATGTTTATGCTTGTGTTCTAAATAGCTTGAGTTGTAATATGCTCGTGTAATAATCCATGTGGAAAATGGAATGCTACTTATTGCCTTTTATCGTGTAATTGGCATTTTCAAAGTTAATGCCTTTTAATTCTCTCCAGAAGATAATTTCAAAAGAAATAAATGTACTTTTAACAGCTTGATGATGCAGAATCTAAAATTAGAGAAATGATACCATTCATTAATTTTTCCATAAAGTAATAGTTATGTGTACAGTATCAAAATAAGAATTCAACATTCAATTTGGGGAAAATAAGTTGTGAGCTATATTTGACTCTAAATGCTGCTAGTTTGTCTTCGTGTTCCTCCTCCTCCTCCTGTTCCTCTTCCTCGTCCTCCTCCTGATCTTCCTCGTCCTCCTGCTCCTCCTCCTCCTGCTCCTCCTCCTCCTGCTCCTCCTCCTGCTCTTCCTGCTCTCCCTGCTCCTCCTCGTCCTGCTCCTCCTCCTGCTCCTCCTCTGCTCCTCCTGCTCCTCCTCCTCCTGCTGCTCCTCCTCCTGCTCCTCCTCCTCCTGTTCCTGCTCTATTTCCCTCTTCCTCCTGTCTTTCTCCTATCACAACTTTCAACCATAATCATTTTTCTAGTAATTCACTTTTTCAGCCAGAAATCATGGGGTAAACATGGCTAAAAGTTAATTTAAGAAAGTCAGCTATAATTTATGGCACATGCTTACTAATATCAGGATGGAAAACAAAACGGGAGCACTGAAAAAGACATTTTATCATCTGTGGAATCCTTTTACTCTGTTGTTTTCAAAACATTTGCTCTCCAATACCCCAAAAACAAAAACAAAACACTCACCTCATCCACATTCTCGAAGGCATTGATGATGTCATAAGGTAAACAGGACAGCAGATCGATCACAAACCAAGTTTTCAGATAGTTCATCCTTATGAGCTTTGGGTCAGAAATGACCTCTCCACCTGGCCCCACAAAAGTCGTGTGAAAATTTAAAACGATGTCAACCAGAAAAATAACGTCCACCACACTGTCCAGCACCAGCCAGGCTATATTGTTCTGCTTTGTTTTAAAGGAAACGTTGTAAGGAACCATGATGGCGGTGTAGAAGGTAAGAATTAAAATCACCCAATCCCAGGTAGTTTTAAAAGCACAGTAGTGTAAAATGATGTGTGGCGGCGTCTTTGGCGCTTCTTGTTTGTACTGAGGAAGGATGTCTGACCCCAGCTGAAGAACCTAAAGGAAGAAAAAGTGCATATAAGTGATGGGGACTTCTCTGAAGTCAGATATGACTGTACACCCACCAGGATCAGTCAAACCATAGGCTGAGTCTAACAATTCTTGGTTTTAAGCCAGTCATGCTCTGTTGATTCCTCTCCCTCTTCAGAAACGTCCTGGAGCTTGCTCACAGGACCGCATGGAAGTCCAGCTACTCCACAAGCTGATCTGATTACTAGTTCATCTGCTCGGCTCTCCAGTGCCCATCCTTGACCCACGGCATAGTGTCTCAGGTGCAGCTGCCCATGCTCCAGGCAAGCCTGACAAGAACCACGTGTCTTTCATTGACTGTCCCATAGTTATTTGGTGGGTGACTGACTACCACTCATTACACACACATTTAGCACCTTAGAAAATATACTTTTGCTTCTGATGGCCTCCCCGAACCCCGGGGCCTCAGTGTTGACAGCCTTGCTCAGCAAGTGCTCCAATGGCTAAGAGGGCAGTGTTAGGGATGGTAGTGGCTGCTTTTCCCTTGTCTCTCTAAACCCAGAGCTATAAAAGAGCATTGTGTTTCTCGTCAGGTGCAAGCTTCCTTTAGTAAATGAGATAAGACACTAAATACTCTGTGCCTCTTTAACAAATGGAAAATTATCAGCGCAAGTTTATGTGAACCTGAACTTACTCTGCTAGGTCTAAAGTGACAGAAGGAGAAAAGCAGATGACCCAGCAAGAGTCAGAGGTGGCAAGCACAGCACAGGACAGAGACTGCCTGTTGGAAACTGGGAAACGGGAAACTAGGGGAAGGATCCCATCTAAAACGTCTGCCTCGTGTATTTATTTCACTAGCGTAATGGAAGTGTCAAGGAGTGTGGCAAAGGGGCTTTCTTAAGTAACATTTCCAGAGGACTTTTACAACTCATGATATCAGTTAGTGGTTCTAGAAAAAAAACCAAACAGACCCACTAAGAGATAAATGCATCAAACATTTGAATACATGAATAAACAAAGATAAGAATTAGCATATAGCTTGAAGGCTTATTTTCCATAATGCATACGCATACACACACACACACACACACACACACACACACACACACACCTTTTGAAGCCTGGAATAGTACACTAAAAATTTCTCATACATCGAGTTTACATAACTGGAAACTGAGTATATACGATCTTGCTATCTTCACTATCAGAAAATGCTGCTAGTATTTCCTTTAGTTCTTTGCTATGCTTACAATTTTTACTTGGGGCTCTTAGAACTACTTTAGGGATATTTCACGTATTTGCCTACTTTCTCAGTGCCCCAGATATATTTTACCCCTATGGTTTTAAATCGCTTAGTAGCAGTTTATCCTAGCAGGAATGTGAGCCCCATGTTGGGGAGGCGTGTTAGACCAAAAGAACTGAACATAATTATGGCTTCTCTCTTACCTTCCAACACCATCAGCTCCAATTTCCCTGGAAGAAGGGGAAATGGAAAATGCTTCTCTTTGCCAGTTATTTCTATACCTTCTATAGTTTGAGCTCAAGGAATAATTCCATGTGCTTTAAATCTGGCTCATATTAGAATCTTCTGGGGAGGTTTTATAAAGTGTGGCATATTCACACCTAAACCCCACTCCCCCAGGCAGGTGACACTGGCCTGAGTGGATTTTCTGAAAAGTCTGTATTTTTACCTTTACCAGGGATGACAATGTGTAGCTCACAATAGTATCTTTTTCTGCTTTTTTCATTCCCAACTTCCATAGTTGGACAGGAGCACTGAATTGCGCTCCTCTGTGAGGCGGTGACAGCTATGTTGCCCAGTGTTATTTCACTTACATTGGCGTGAGAATAAAGTGGAGACAGGGGCCAGAAGCAAGCAGGCTTAAGAAACCTCAGCTCAGAGACACAAGCTGGGCTCTTGGGCTGGGCTTGGTGAAGGAACTGGACTCTTGAAGCAGAAGAGAAGGAAACTTCAAAGCAAGCAGTACTCCTTAAGGAGCATCCTCAGACAAGGCAGGTCCACCTGGCTGCTCCAGCTCCCAAGCCAGATGCAGTTCACCTCTGCACACGGTGTAAACAGTATCACTGAATACTATAGCTATGTCCTGTTTTAGCTTAAGCATGGCTGTTCCATGAAGTGTTCTTTCTCCATGATATCAAAAGTTATTTAGAAAAGGAAAAAAGAAACTGTCCCAGGTCTATCTGTTAGTTAATAATAAGCTAAGGAAAACTCCATAACTCTAAATTTAAAGAATAGACTTTATTTCCCAACCCTCTCTAAACTAGAATTGGTATTTGTAACTAATTAAGAAGTGCCTCGGCTCACCTTTTTCTGGCAGTGTAAATCAGTGGACACCTGGGTTTAATGGTGTCTTTCTCTTTCTTGCTAAATTAACTCAAAATATTTTACAAATTCCCACCATAAATAAACTCAGCATAATTTTGGTAGCGCTCTCTCTCTCTCTCTCTGTCTCTGTCTCTGTCTCTCTCTCTCTCTCTCTCTCTCTCTCTCTGTCTCTCTCTCTCTCTCTCTCTCTCTCTCTCTCTCTCTCTCACTGTGTGTGTGTGTAAGACATTTGGGGAGGAGTATATACCACGGCACACATGTGGAGGCCAAAGGAAATTTGCAGAAGTCAATTCTCTGCTTCTACCATTAGGTTCCAGAAATAGAGCTCTCAGGATGTCAGACTTGGCAGCAGGCTCCTTTGCCTACTGAGCCATCTCGCTAGCCGTAACTCTTCTATTTTTTCCTGAATTCACTCCACTGAGTACCAGCACATGCTCGTAACTGACCCTAGAGTCCCAAGTCTGGGTAAATGCTACAATATCTTAAAGTCTTTATCCGCTTCCTGTCCAGTGTCTATCACTCCTTAGTAACAACCCAGTTCTTATTCATCTTCACATCCTTTCATTTTACAGAAATCCAAATACAGTGGAAACCCTCAATTAATATTTTCTGCACACACAAATGAACGCGTGGATTCTCTGCCCTATTTGTTCAATTAAATCACACAGTCTCTACGCATCACCCAATAATGCATGAACTACATTTCCATGCAAAACTTGAAGAGAATGAAAAGGAGTGTTTCAAATTTCTACAGTTCTACAAAGAAAACATAAATTATCACCTACGCAATTGTGCTTATCCTGAATAATCTAGGGAAAAACGTATCAAGGCCACTTCCTTGCAAAGCAAAGTCATTCTCATACTTACTTCAGCTAGTCGTGAATGTTTGTGGACTGTCTCTGTTTTATTCATTGGCGTGAGCTGCTGTAAAACACTTCGGCTGTTTGTCAAAGCCCGTGTCAATCGGGCAAATTTTGTCCAACCTTAAAGAGATGAAAAGAGAGTTTGGGTTATTCACATACAATGAATTGTAAGTGCAGCATTCTCTCAGATAGCTGGAGGATCATGGCAACCGCAGGCTGTCCAGAAAAACTGAAAAGTGTCTGTCTCGTTCCTGTGTAAACGCCATCAAATTCGAAGTGTGACTAAAATGAGGTACTTTCTAATATTTGTAACATTTGGGCCTTTCTCGCATCTACTGCGTAGTCTCTGTAGTCATGGTAGATAATAGGCTAAAAACATTATCTGGTCCTGCTCGATTTGTAAGGGTTTGTGAAGGGGAAACAGCTGCCTACCCAGCAGCTCCTCTCTCAGCATCCCATGCATCTGTGCGTTCCAAGTCCCTAGTTCTCACTAATGGACTTGAAGCGGAAACAACGATGCCACATCTGTATCCCTATTTCAGAAGCAAGTTGGTATCACACTTCCTACTCCTTCTACCAGCTGTATGCAAATAGCAAGCCTTTAGAGGAAGGAAAAGCCACTGGATCGCTGTGTAGAAAGATGCCAGCCAGGGCCACTTGCTTGGGATTATTTCATGAACAAGAAATGTGCTTCTCCTGTATCAAATCAATTTTTCCCTTATTAATAGAAAAAATACATAACCTTACTACATTATTGTTGGTTGTTAGAGTGGCTGCTACCGCCCTAATGAAGAGTTCTAATGTGTGTTGTAGACAGAGGTACCCACTTAGGAGGAAAAGTCCAATTCCAACCGCGCCTATTATGCACGTTGCACCTTCCTTGTAGCTTAATAAATTTTATTTCTCCCATTAACAATGGCAGTGATATCTAAAAAGTTATGCTTGGAATATCTAAAAACCTAATCATGTTTTCATGAAGAGAAGTTGCTTTGGGGAAAAAGGAATGTGAATTTAATGGAAAAAAAAACTTTATTCTGGGGCCTCAGCTTGGCATTATGAACAACATTTATTTCAAAGAAACACCAATGAGATATGAACATATAGAGCAAAATGAGCCATCCCGTGGCCCTCTCTCAACTCTGTGTCCTCTAACTAGCTCTAAAGCTCCACTCTGTTGAAGATCTCTCTAAAGCTACTTGATCATGTCTGTAGGGTTACCCACTGACAGAGTGGTCTCCAAACAACTCCTTAAAAGTGAAGCCTCCAGCTGGTTAAAAGGGATGAACCCAGAGGCATGATGAAATCTCAGCTGATTCAATAAACCCTGAAGGAGCAAGCCCTGGGCCTACAGGAAACGAATGCCTGTCAGATCACAGAGTACAGGCAGTGTTGGGAGTTGCTGTTAGCCTTCAGACTTGGAACGACCCCCAGGAATTCACTTCCTTCTGTGTGTTCAGTGATTGCACGAGAAGTAAGCTGACATCCATTGACGGAAAGTCCTTTTTCCTTCTTCATTAATGGGCCTTTCCCTAGTCTGGAATTTAAAATCATGTTGGGGACATTACCTGTAACCCAAGGTTCTATACAGTGTTCCAGTCTCACAATGAGGCAACTAAGACACCAGAAAAAACATACAAAATCAACTTGAATTCACTATCACCAACCTTGACTTCTCTTCTGTGTGCTGGACCTGAGCATCTCTCTGCCTTTGGCCAGCCTCCTCTAAGGCATTCTACAGACATCTGCTCCCAGCAAGTCTAAAACTCACCTTGTTACCACCCTTTCTCCATGTTACACATCCCACATCCTACATCCTTCATACACTCTTGATAAACTAACTGGTGCCATTTCTAACCATACAAACCAGTAACTTAACGCCCGCTGCCCTTCTTTCACTGTTACACATACACAGACACACACACACAGACACACATGCACACAGACCCACAAACACACACAAGCATGTACACATACTCCTGCATAAGCCTTCTAGTTTATAACTTACAAATCTTTCAAACTGAATTCCTTCCATTCTCACTTGTCAAACAATGCAGCATGTGTCACTGCCATCAGGGGACAGCCCCCTGAGAACATCGCCACACGCGGGGAAGATCCGTGCTGAAACACAAATCCAACCACGCTTTCCCATTCCAATCCTTCACGTCAACCTGGAGACTTCCAAGAAAACACCGTGTCCTTGGAAAAGGTCCTTTAGCTCCTACCCACGAGGATTTCCACTGCATCTATCTTCTGCCACCTTGCCATTCTCCAGCCTTACTAAATCAATAGAGAATTAATTGAAGAGCAAATTCAAAATATCATTAAATCTTCCAGAGGTCTTTTACATACTGTCATGCCCCACTCTTTTCTATATTACACTCCTCCTGTTTGCCTACAGCTCTCTCCCCCTCCCCATCTGTTTGGCTAAGGACAGTTCAGACTCACGTGAAGGACTACTGCCTTATGGAAGCTTCTTTTACACACCTACAGGAGGGGTGTGCCCTCATCCGGACTCTATAATCCACACATCACATGACAGTAACAACATCGGTGTAAGCATGGTTTACTTTGGGTTAATAAAGTTCATCTTTTCACAGCAGCACTAAAGGCTATAAGTAAATTAACAGATGATAGACGACTAATCCAACTTTATTTGAGACAAGAGCCCATTCACATCTTATTACAGTGGGTCTTGGTCAGCAGGGTGGGTGTAAATGAGAAGGTGCTCTCAGGTGACAGTGACTATTTTGGGCACCCCTCATCAACGTACTGAAGTGTATCTGATCGTTCCTCATCTTACATCAGCTATGTGTTATAGCTGCATAGGCTATTTCTAGAAACTTCCCAGCTCCTCTTTTTTTCTTCCTGAAGTCTCACATTTCTAAGAAAGGTGATGTTGAATTTCTGTATATCTGAGAGGGACTAAAAGAGAAAACCATTTTCATTCTGTGTACACAGTAATGTTTGTCTAGAAAAAAAATCTGGCACCAAAAGGGAAATGTGGGAGGGATATATCCCATGAGTCAAGGAGAGCACAGCCCTTCAGGAGGTTGGCATTTGCTCCTCTGTCACTATGCAGGGAATAAGAGGTGAAGGAGAGATACAACTACGAGAGCCATTGTCACATAGTGATAGTGCGGCATTCCTTAATAAGGGAGCAGTAGTTCCTAATTTAAATACTCATAAAATCCTTCTTTAAATATGTCTGTAAATGACTACCTATAATCTGATCAACACAATTTTTAAAGGACACTAATTTCATATTTGTAGAATAAATAAAACATGGAGTGAAAAAGTTATACAGGGATTAGCATATCAAATGCCTTATATACAATTTCAAAATGTAGCAAAGGAACTGGGCTCAGCTTTCAGTGGGTGTCAATACTATTCATGACATTAAGGAAGAACTCTGGAGTGAAGAAGGTAGAGAGAGCTCCTAATCTTCAGAAAGATCCTGAGGAACCACTAGCTGGGAATGAAAGGCGGGGCTAGGTGATGGGCCAGCTCTGGCATGGGGATTCATAAGCAAAGATTCACAAAGGATTCTTTCTTCCTAAAGAAACCAAAGTCCAGGGCAATTGTCAGGGAGTCATCATTCAGGATTTTGCTATCAACATGCCCCAGAAGGTGGAGGACCAAAGTTAAGTCAAGATGTGTTCTACTTCATATGTAAATTAGTAGATTGCAAGAACCCGGAGTTCACTGGCCATGGGACACTCTTGCTGCCCTTGATTCTAAAGCACTAATGTTAGCACTTTTCTGAAGACTTCCATACCTCCTTACTCCCACTGCCTACCCTCATACTTCACTGGAAACAAACAAAAGCCACACGAAAGACATTAACCTGAAATTTCCCTTCTCATCTTCCCACAGGGTGCTTCCCTCTTTCCTGCTCCCAGTACCTCTAAGATGGGGCACTTGCTTGTCCTTGACAATGCATAAACTACACTGATACGTGCTCTAGACATTTCCAGATTTTTCACCACTATAAACCACGCCACGCTGAATTTTCTAACGCCATCCTTTCGTGCTCTGGCAATGCCACCGTTCTTAACTAGTTGAGTTGATTTGCTCTTTCCCCCACCCCTCCCCCCACCATGTTACGGACAAACTTTGAAAAAGTCAGAGACAGCCACACTGTCTAGGTCAGAGAAAGAGACTCCTCAGCAGTTCTCCCATCTCCACGGGACCACATTTCCCCAGCTTGCCTCAACAGAAACCTAACTGGTGCGACTGATTGCTCAGCAGTCCGCTGATGTTACTTAGACGTGATCGATACGGGGTAATATGAACAGACAGTCGCGTATGACGAGCAGAATGCTTGCACTGTAAGTTGTTCATGGCATTATGAGAACATTTGTTCTCCTAGAGGCTTGGGCTGCCAACTCCTTCTTAATAAAACATTAGTTTAGCTCTATTGGGTTGCAATTAACCTCTTTGTCATGGACTGTCTAATCTTAAAAATGAAAGGAAGTCACAGAGGCAGTTAAATCAATCTATTGGACTGCAACACAAGATTCCAATCCATAAGGAAAGAGCTTAGGTAAACAGTTTTGCTCTCAGCCAACAAGACTGGCTGGCATAATTACTCCTGTTTCTTCCGTCGCCTCCCCTCTAAAGAAATCATTGGCTTTTGCAAGTAGGTTACTTTTTTGATGTTATTTTTATTCTGGAAGAATTTTTTTTTGGTCTCATTATTGGCAAAAAGGTGTCATAACTACTTGGCAGAGGGCATTTTACACTGTAATTATCTTAGCAGTTTGGAAGTCTTTTTGAAAACCCTGTACTGTTTCAATGGGCAGAGATTTGGATAATGATCTTTAGAACACATAACAGTGGAGACCTTCAGACAGCAATTTGCACATGATGACAGATAAAGTTTTACATACTATTGACTGATTGTCTGAACAACACTCTCGACATTGCAATGCCAGGTACAAAAGATAATAAGACGACTTCGCCCTGTGGAATTAGCATCAGGAAATTGAGTTGGCTCTAAGAGCACAACTCGATCAAGAAAGAAAGCATCCTCCTGAGGCCTGTGCTTAGAAACAGAGCTAATGTGACTGTGCCTGCCAGTGAATTCCCACTGCAGAAGACAAGACAGCAATGGACAGTCT